TTTTAACTTTGTTTCTTTTTTTCCTTTTCTATTTACAAGAAAACCCTGCTTGTGACTAATAGAAGATGGTTCAACTTAAACAACTACTGTAATAAAATGCTAAAAGGATTGAAAAATTAGAGTAAATTTAAAAATAAATAACTTCCTACTAGAAAAAACAAAGTTTTTTAATAATCTTTGTACTTAAACATTTAAATTCTAATATATTTTTGTTATTTTATATTGATATTGCTTAACATGAGTTCACAAGTCAAGTGGGGCTTGTTCTTATCGAGCCGACTCACTAGTCAGCTCAACTCAATCCATGAATCAGTTTTATATTATTATACTTCTAAATGTTTCAATAATAACATTTAGAATTAAACTTGATATTGACTTTATTTTATTAAACTCCATCAAAATTTCTCAATGAAATATTCGACCTCGGTTCTAGAAGTGTGTTAAAAACGACAAACAACTAAGCCCCGTTATCTGTTCTAACGTGTTTCTTCTTGAGCAGGTCTTTGAGGGTGAGAGGAGCCTCACTAAGGACTGCAGAAATCTTGGAAAATTTGATCTCAGTGGAATCCCACCCGCACCTAGGTTCATTTCTCTCCTTAAATGAATCCTTCCTGCAATTTTACTTTTGTATTTACATATCTAACACCTAAACTTTACTTTTTACATTAATACCACAAAGTTTCATATCACATCAAAAATACTCCATTTTAACTTCTAAAAAGTGAAATTCACCTTTTTCATGCATTAATAAGGTAGCATAGCGTGTATGTGAAAATTGAAGTCTAGGTGTAAGATATGTAAAACATATTAGGAATTGAGTGGTGTGTACGTAAATCTTACAATTATCTCAATGAATAACACCTATCCTTCTTACATTAATACCACATAAATCTTTCATATCACAGAATACCACCATTTTAACTTTTAAAAGCGAAGTACACATTTTAATACATATTTAAGGTGATATTTATGTAAAAAATTATCACATAAAAAATGGCATCATTTTAACATTTAAAAAAAAATGAAGCACACCTTTATAGCTAAGGTGTTCATGTATTTGTAAAATTAAAGTTTTAACTATTAGATATGTAAATACAAAGGAATTCAGTAACACCTAAACTTTACTTTTTACATTAATACCACATAAAGTTTCATATCACATCAAAAGTACTACCATTTTAACTTCTAAAATTCACCTTTTTCATGCATTAATAAGGTAGCATAGCATGTATGTGAAAATTGAAGTCTAGGTGTAAGATATGTAAAACATAATAGGAATTGAGTGGTGTGTACGTAAATCTTACAATTATCTCAATGAATAACACCTATCCTTCTTACATTAATACCACATAAATCTTTCATATCACAGAATACCACCATTTTAACTTTTAAAAACGAAGTACACATTTTAATACATATTATGGTGATATTTATGTAAAAAAATTAAGTTTAGGTGCTAGATATGTAAATACATAGGAATTGAGTGGTCTTGAGTGTCAATCTTCCTTACAATTATCTCAATGAATAAACATATACTTTACATTTTACATTAATATCACATGATTTTTTTATCACATAAAAAATGGCATCATTTTAACATTTTAAAAAAAATGAAACACACCTTTATGGCTAAGGTGTTCTTGTATGTAAAAAGTAAATTTTAACTCTTAGATATGTAAATACACAGGAATTCAAGGGGTATGTTTGTAAATCTTTCTTACAATTATCTCAATGAACAACAGAGGCACACCTCAAATCGAAGTCACATTCGAGGTCGACGCCAATGGCATCCTCAACGTCAAGGCCGAGGACAAAGGCACCGGAAAATCTGAGAAGATCACCATCACCAACGACAAGGGCCGTCTGAGTCAAGAGGAGATTGACCGGATGGTCAAGGAGGCTGAGGAGTTCGCCGAGGAAGACAAGAAGGTAAAAGAAAGGATCGATGCCAGGAACCAGTTGGAGACCTATGTTTACAACATGAAGAACACCATCAATGATAAGGATAAGCTCGCCGACAAGATCGACAGCGAGGAGAAGGAGAGCATCGACGCCGCCCTCAAGGAGGCATTGGAATGGCTCGATGATAACCAGAATGCGGAGAAGGAAGATTTTGACGAGAAATTAAAGGAGGTGGAGGCAGTATGCAACCCTATCATCTCCAAAGTTTATCAGAGGTCTGGTGGTGCTCCAGGAGGGGCATCAGATGGCGGCGCCGATGATGATGATGAGTCTTCTCATGATGAGCTTTGAGTGATAGATGGAAGTTTTTGGTTTTGTTTTCTGTAATTTTTGGATAGATGAGGGATCGGGGAAGAAAAAAAATGGACTGATAATTCCCTACAGCGTGATGATGGATGATGTTAGTTCTTTTTTCAGAACAATGTATTACTTTTGAATTATTATCTTTTGATGAATTTTGGAAAGGTTACAATCATCACTATCTTATTGCTGGGATTTGATCAGCACCATTTTTTCATTGTTTAATAAGATGAGAAAAAGTTTACAAAAATATTACAAATTTTTTACAATTTTTAGTCGCGCATCAAACACCTCGTCTCCAATGGGGAAAAAATTTAAGTACGATAGACGTACGCAGCGCTGCGTGCGATATTGGGGTTATACCGAGGGTACAAGGGGGTTGCATCCACGGTATAAGCCCTTGTAACCTTCCTGTAACTTGTTGTAACCTATCTGTACCCTAAAATAAGTTTCACGCTTCTGTTATTATATATTAAGAGGTTACACGTAAGTTACAGGGAGGTTACATGAAGGTTACAAGGGTTTATACCGTGGATGTAACCCCCTTGTACTCTCGGTATACCCCAATATCGCACGCAGCGCTGCGTACGTCTATTGCACGCAAATTTTTTCCCTCCAATGGGCTATTGTCATCGCTTTGGCTTCTATGGATATAATTCCCTTTTTTATTTATGAAGTAGTTGGGCGTTCAAATTTTACATTTGTAGCGCTTATGCATTGAAAATTATATTCCATTTTTAAAAATTAATAATACTTATATTTTTGTTGCCATGTAAAAAAATTGAGTGTTTTTAAAATTAAAGCCAAAGTTTTTAAGTGTTAAATGTGTAAATATCTAGAAATTATACTGTATGTAAATGTGCCCTTAAAATTATTGTTGAAGTATTCTTTTCAACCCACCTAAGAATTTACGATGAACTTTATCATTAAATAGGGAAAATTAAGCCCAAATAGAGTTTTTAGTTGTGGTCAAATATTGGAAAAAATATTGCATCAGAATTTTGCAGGTAGAGTTGCTTGCGGAGTCCAATGAAATCACACTACGTGGAAGTGAGAAAAAAAAATCGGTCTGGTAACATGAGAATATTCTCCATGCGTTATTTCATGTTATATAAATGCTATTGTATGTTATTCAGATGTTATTGTGTTCTATGAATATTCTCGATATTATAAAAACACAATAACACATCAATAATACTTGAATAATACACAATAACATTTGAATAACACAATAATACATGAATAACACGAGAGGAATACTCTATTGTGTTACCAGACATATTTTTTTCTTTTTTGTTATCATCAGGTTGCGTGATTTTATTAAACTTCGCACGTAACTCTACGTGCAGAGCCCTGAAGCAATACTTTCCTCAAATATTGACACCGCTTCAAGTTGTTTAGAATTATTGACGACTATTTTTTTAAACTCACCCGATAATGACAATCTTTTCAAATTCAAAATTTTTAAAAACTTTATAATTCTTTAATAATTTTTTTAATTTTTATTATTTATTTTTTTAATTATGAATCTCAAAACATAATGGCAAGAGTACTTCTGAAAGAAAGCTGCATAGGCCTAGTTTTAACTAAGAGACTATTATTGGTAGCTTGAGTTAATTAATAAATAGAATGCAGCAAAATTTTAAATTTCGGTGTTTGATAGGATTAAAAGGAAATACAACATAACTGCTTCAAAAAGGTATATTCAAAATTCATCAGATTTGATTGCATTAAAACATAAAATTACAAATTGCGCGAGTCATTGCCGTCCACAATTCTATTGGTCATGCCAAAAAATATAAACACTTGCATTTATTTCACAATTAATTAAATATATACTATATTTTAATAATATTATATTCCTTTTACAAGGAACCAGATGGCACCTTTATATTGGCCAAAGGAGAGTTGCAAGAAGCCATTAATGATGGAATCCTATAGGTTTAATAATTATTGAATAAAAGAAATGAAAATATGCTCAGTAATTTCGGGTACATATAATAAAATTTAAAATATGTATCAATATAGCAGCGAAAGATTTAAAAAATAACAATAACAAATAAAAGACATTGATATTGATTAATGATCACATGCATAACAATCAAAATATTAATATTTACACATTTCCAGCCTTAAATTTCATTATTTACATCATATATCACCCCGATAATGAATCTTCTCAGACATTCAATGAAGAAGCCAATTAAGATGAACCACTCATTAAGACAAGAAAAATTTGCTTATGTAAGACGTTTGCAGAGCTGCGTACATCAAAGGTTATTCAAAAGGTATTTGGGGGTTATATCCGCGTTATACTTCTGTAACATATTTGTAACCTATCTATACCACCCAATATCTCTGAATAACCTCTGATGTACGCAACTCTGCAAACGTCTTACGTATGCAAATTTTTCTCCATTAAGACACTCACCTGGGTGAAAAAAAGTGCAATTAAGCATTGAGTTGGAAGAGACTAACCATGATTGAGCATTTATCAGCTTCTTTTTTTTACTTTATTTGTTATATAGTTTTTTTTTTTTTTTTACATTTATACCCCCCCAAATCATTCATATCTCATAAAAAATACCACTATTTTAACTTCTTAAAAAAAGTGAAATACACCTTACATGCATAAGTAATATGTCATATCTGTAAAAATTGAGTTTTAGTGGTTCGATGAGTAAATACATAGGAATTGAATGGTATCCATGTAAATCTTCCAAGGATTCAGATTCAGATGGCAAGAAATAAAAAGCAAATAATTCAACTTTATTTACATGTACATGATCACATCTACACATAACGTAAAGAATGAATACCTGATCAAAAGGAAAAGAACAAGCCAGTAAACACCAGCAAAATAATCATTCCTTCTACTTGCACAGAAAATCAAACATTTCCTTCTCCAAATAATAATAATATACATACCTGATTATGTCCTCTGTGGCTTCTAAAGGACTTGCCAATCATCGTCGCCGCCGCTGCCCCCTTCATCTCCATCATGCTCACATAAGTTTTCGAAACCAGAATTTATTTCCTCCCTATTTGCATTGCCAGCAGCAGCATCACCTAACCTATTGTGCTTAGGTTTTATTGTTTCAAAAGACTTAGCTACAGTAAAGAGCGGAGCCCCATTGGATCGGTCGGCAAGGTCTGATGCGCGAGAACAGAAATCCATGAAGTCATCTGAATGAAATTCAATAAGAACAAATGTAGTTTAGGCCTCTTACATTTATACCAATCAAATCTTTCATATCACATAAAAAATATCACAATTTTTAACTTTTAAAAAGTGAAATATACCGTTTTATGCCTATGAAAGGTCGCATGTATGTAAAATTGAAGTTCAGGTGTTAGATATGTAAATACATGAGGTGAGTGGTATGTAATTCTTCCTAATATAATATATTATAGGCCCATTAACATGCATAACACACAATTATTATGTATTCACATTTCTCACAATTAAACTTTTATATTTACACACAGCATTCAAATCTTTAATATCACATCATAATTAACAGAGTACTTTTTAAAAGTAAAATACACCTTTTTTCATGAATAGATTTAAAGCACCAAAGTGCTATTTTGTAAATATGAGAGTTTAGTTGTGAGATAAATAAATACTAAGAATCGTGTGCTACTTATGTAAAGTTTCATGTAATAAAATATAACATGATGAGCAGAATAAACAAACCTTTGTCCCTACAATAAAAGCCAATTGCCAAAGATGGGTCGATTGAGTCAAGAGGCATGCTGCGCACGGTACTGAAAAGTAACAAAAGGGTAAGAGGCAATAATAAATATCAAAATCAGACACAATAATGTAAAAACAATTTACATAAATACCACATAATTCTTATATATTTATACGTCTAACCCCTAAAATTTGATATTCACAAATATATAAGAAAAAGTACCCTGATGAGTATATACCTGCAGTGATATGAAGAAGTATCAGCCTCCACATTATCCGGTTTGATATCAACAACCTGTTTTCATTTGTAACAAAAAACTAGATAAGAATATTCTCTTAAATTGGAGCCAATCACAACTTTATTATAGAAATATAGAATCCAAAAGGAGTAAAAATAGCAAGTGCAGAAAGAGAAGGAAAAAGAGCTCCAAGTGCGTGGGTTAGACAAGTAAAATAAAAAATCAATGTAAGATAATGTAAAAAGAAAAGGAAAAAAAAACTAATCCTCTATGCTACTCAAAGTTCACATAAATTAAAAAAAAAAAGTTGGGAGAACTTGAAAAGAAGACCAAGGAAAAGAATATGAGAACGAAAATATTCCTCTTTCACTAGATTATAGTACTTGGGTGAAGTAATTAGAGTATTCAGGATCTATCCAACATAAACCAGTAACGAAACTAAACTACTCAGATTAGCATAAATTTCCAAAAACCAATACCGCTGAATCCTTAATAGCATTGTTAAGAAGTTGCAATATTTGACATGTGATGCAGATTCCATTAAAAAAAAAAACAAAACAAAGATGCATCAGACATTAGTAAATTTCTTTCAAGAAAAAGAAATATAATTCTCTCATTTAACTTAAGAAAAAATTTATAATGCAACCTTTACTAATTGTTTAAATTTCAAAAAACTGGATACCTTTCAAAAGTATAATTATCTCAACAGTGCCTTAAGAATATTTAAGACTTGTGAGGTTAAGAATAGCAGCCTAAAGCACTCCTTGATTAAAGTAGGCAGTTTAAATTAAAAGTGTCTAAGCAGAACTAATAAGTTATTTATACCGGCTGGACTTCATGAGGATCGAGGTAGAATGCTCTGTCATCTTGAACACCAACAATGTAAGTCGAAGCGCCAGGCTTTCCGCCCATGACGCCCAAGCTCTGTGGAAATGTAAATGTTTCCCGTAACAAGGGAATATACCTACAATTGAAGTTGCAAAATTTATTAATGCTAGATAGTGTTTAAAACCTGCAATTACAGTTAAATTAAGATGTTACTGCGTTTATTTATGCAACAATAATTAAGGTGAGTGGAAAAGAATAAAACCATGCATCAAAGATGAGAAATTACACGAGAGGACACAATCGAGAAAAAGGATTCATATAGCCGACCCTGCATAGTGGAATAAAAGCATATTGTTGTTGATGTTGTTGTTGGATCAAGATGGAAAATCACAGTGCATTAATCCGTTGTAATAATGATAATAATATCATTATCATTACTATCATTATTATTATTATTTTAAAATATAAATTAGGGTTTGAGTTGTAATTTTAGGTATAACATATTTATATAGATAAAAATTTTACCCTAAATTAAACCTAATTTTATTCTCTGGCTACTTCAATGGAAGAATTTGAGCAATGATGATTTCACTGTCATTTGGGGTTTTCTTAACAGAGTAGAAATTTCTTACTTTGATCCTTTGTTCGATCAATAGGATCAAAATTGATTATTGTCAATTAAAAAAAAATTTATAAGATTAAATGATCGGTCTAACTTTGCAGTAACTGACAAACAGGCAACAACCATTAGAGATAGATCATATGAGAGATGGTTCGTGGTTGGGTTTCTAAGAAGGTGAGAGCCCTAAGAGTTGGTTGGACCAGGCTACCAGCAAGTCTCATTGTTAACACTTAGCACCAACGTTATCAAAAGAGTATTTAGAAGCAAAGTGAAGTGGTAAGCTAGACCTGTGCTCTGTTTGCCTGTGAAGCGCAAGTATACAACAAAACACTATCATTGCACCAATTTGCCACATTGCATCGTAGAACCTTGCACTACGCTTCTTATCAGAGCAATTTCCTGATTCATATTTCATGATTCAGTTAAACATTTACCGTAACAACTAAGTATGATAAATTTTAACAATCTTTGAATAACCTAAGCCTCATAAATCGAGCAAAAAATGGCCTTTTAAAATGAATTTTATCTTGATTCTTATAGCATAAGTGCCGCTTCACATTGCAAAAATGAGTAAATGATCAAAACCATCTTTAAACTTGTTAGGTTAGTCCATTTAATACCAAACCTTTTTATGTATGCAATTTAGTCCTCAACGCACCCGTTTGATATAATAATATCATTATTATTATTATTATTTAAAAAAAAAATTTAATTAATTAGAGCTCGAGTTGTAACTTTAGGTATAACACAATAATATAAATAAAAAATTTACTCTAGATTAAACCTAATTTTATTCTTTGGCTACTTCAATGAAGAAGTTGAAACATTCGACAATGATGATTTCACAATCTTTTGAGTTTTGCGTAACAAAGTAGAAATTTCTTGTTTTGATCCTTTCTTTGTTCCATCACACTAATAAAAAAACATTTTCATATTTAGATATATAGTATAATAATATTTCATAATAATTGTTTACATCACACTATAAAAATAACATTTTCATATTTCATACTGTCTTCTTTTAAAGCAACTAACTTGCTCAAAGCCCCTAAATCTATAATCATTTGCCTCACACACACACGCTCGCACACACGCACTATTCCCCTTAGTACAAAGGATGCAAATCATAACAAACTATAGCTTTTGCTTTACTAACAACCCTCTTTGCGAGATTTCTAGCTTTACCATGCAATCATATTAAGTTTCAAAATATTCAATTTTTAAAGACATTTTAGAAGCTTTTTTTTTTTAAATTGCTACTTGTATCTCATCCCTCCACAATTAAATCTCATTATCAGTGTATGCTTTGCTCCTAAACTCCCCTAAAATATGTACACCAATCATCTTAATGAAACTAGTCATTTTACCCCATATAAGGTTTAGCCCAACTAAAAAACTCCAATTTAATTCCTATTTTTTTTGGAACGGTGAGCGACAATCACAAAGTATTTCTCTCTTAAATAAGCAAACCTTCTCCAATTTGTGTCTTTTAATAATTTATCCTGACATATTAACATTTTCTCATCTTTCAAATTTTACCACCATATTCCAAGAAAAAGAAATTGATTTTGTATATATATATATATTCAAAAATATTGCCCTACATTAAATGGTCTCATTATCCTAGAATAACCTTGTAATTTTTATAGGAATTTTTTTCTTTACTTCTAACAACAACAATAACAACAACAAACATTTATCCCACTAAGTGGCGTCGGCTATATGAATCTTTTTTTCTCAATTGCGTCTTATTGAGTGTCATATTTTCATTTAATTCTAATAAATCAAGATCATTTGTTATACAATATGTCCAAGTCTTTCTAGGTCTAACTTTGTCTTTCTTAATATAAGCAGAATCTAAAACATCTACTCTCCAAATCAGATCATCAGATCGTCGACGTTTAACGTGACCAAACTATTTAAGACAACTCTCTCTAATTTTGTCTGCTACTGTGCTACACCAACCCTATCACAGATATATTCATTTCGCAATTTGTCTCTAAAGTGTAAACTTATCATCCACTTAAGCATTCTCAGCTCGGCAACACTTAACTTAATTTTATGCTTCTCTTTTAAAGGCCAACATTCAACGACATAGAGCATTGCAGGTTTCACCACCACTTTATAAAATTGTCCTTTCAGTCTAAGCGGTACTTTTCTATCACACAATAGACCCGAAGAATTCCTTCACTTCAGCCAACCAACTTGAATTCTACTAATAACATCCCAATTTATATCACCGTCACTTTGAACAATAAACCCGAGATATCTAAAGCGTTCACACATTTTAATAATTTGATCATCCATAGTTAGAACTCTGTCACTAGAGCTACAACTACTAAAATTACATTCCATGTATTTAGCTATAGTTCTACTCAAAGGAAGGCCTTTAGATTCCAATGTAGACCTCCACAATTCAAGTTTTTCCTTCTAAGTTAAGAAGAAATTTATTTTGAGATTTGGTCTCACTTTTGTAAATAATCAAGTTTTCATCTTATTTCTTAAGAATATGTTCACTATTGCAAGATCACATGCTAATGTGAAATAAAGTATAGTTTCTCAAATTACATTTATATCTCCTATTTAATAACTATCATAAATTCGCTCATAGCCCATAATATTAGAACATATATACACATTTAAAACACCTCCAGTGACAATTATTTCTTTAGCAAATATGAATTGTAGTACTGTAGTAGTTGATCCATCTCTTTATAAAATTAATTTTTAAACTATTTTCTAATCTAACTTAAGAAGTATTAGAATTAAGCACATTAATTATTTCCCTGTGGATAAATCACTAACCATATTAACTGCCCATCAATTCTATTTGCCTCCTGATAAATCAATCAACGCAGTGAAAGAAACATTGGCTGATCATTTATGTTTAAACCATATCAAGTAATCTAAACCATGTATATTTAGTTGCATCTATAATCAACACAAAAGATCTAAAAAATGGAAATTCCTTGATACGGTATAATCAAATCTAAAGAAATCAGATCACAAAAGCCTAAATTCTAAAAAACCAATTATAGAAAATCAAATCGTAAACAAAAAGGCTGAATCAGATCTTTTGAGGCTCATAAATGTTTTATTCAAAATTTCTCACAGTTATTATTAGATTAAATTATGATAAGTTTCAAAATACATTATTCTAAGAGAGAGAGAGGTAGAAAAGAAGAGAGGTAGAGGAAAGGATAAATTAAGAGAGTGGGCAAGAAAAGAACTGGAGAGAGGGAGTCGAGAAAAGATCTAGGAGGAGAAAAGGAGGCAATCAATTGTAGAGTAAAATAATATTTTATTTAAACAAAAGTTCACAACAAAATCAAGAACCTTTAACATAAACATTAGGTTCAAATACTTCCATAACTAGCATTAGTTATTATAACAAGGATACATCATTACTGCCAATAAATGAAACATTCAAAATATTAAAATATATTAAAACTAAATAAATGAGTGCCTATAAACTGATATGGAAGAGGATTCTAATAAACTTATGCCTTATTTCTCCTGAAGCACTCACCAGGATCAAAAGAAACAATTCTCCAAAGAATTGAAATGTGACCATAGTGGTGGTGAAATTGGACTAAGAACTATCCTAGGACTGAAACAAAGGGCATATGCTAGACAGTGTGTTTGTAGTGAAGGCAGAAGCACAAACTCAATTCAGACAATGGGAATAATACTACCAACTGTGAATCAATATTTGACAAGCAATAATACTTAATAAGTAGTGCAAACTCATACTCAATTACATGTGCAGTGTTGACCTCATTTTTAGTGAGGTCTAGTCTTTCTCTTAGGATTTAGGATCTAGCCTTAGGGGTCTCCCGGCGACTATCTTAGAGCCTTAGAAATGTGACCCGCCTCGTTTTAGGAGTTCGACCTACTTCCGTCCCCTTTTGGAGTTTCGCGTGTGTGGTATCGACTTCTAGTACTTAGAAGGATGAAACCGACATGAGGAAACCCAAAAGGGATTCCTGTAGGACCCTTCTGAGCCTTAGGGTGGCTTTCTGCACAATTCACACTCCAGCGCGCACCTTCGCAATTCGGAGAGTCGACGCGTCCGATCGCCACAATTCACATCGCTTGTACTGTTATTTGTCGAGGGCTCGAGTAAACCTTTTGAGACGATCGATCGCGGGTCGAAATTATATGAAATTTGAATTTCGACGCGTTTTTTGACCCGATTGTCGACGACGTCGTCCGAGCGACCCCGGATGACAAAACAGACAGCACCGGCGCATCCGGAACGTCGATTTTGCCCAGGGAGGACACCCAATTTGTTACGTCGCCACGCGCGAGTAAATCGGGTTTTATTTAATATATTTATATATATATATTAATTAACTTTTTTTTACCCCTCCCCCTTTCCTCTTTAATCCCTAGCACTCCCTGCGTCCGAGCTCTGTCTCCCTTCTCCCGTTCGCGCGCCTGACCTCTCCCTTTCTTGGTCTCGAGCCGAGCGAGCTCTTCCTCCTCCTCTCCCCCGAACAC